TCTATCCAATCATTGGTAGCGACTGCGTATTCTATGCAAGATATATCGATGATATATTCTTTGTATACACGGGCAGTGATGACGAACTTATTCAATTCCTCGTGACCCTAAACACAGTGCACGACTCAATTATGTTTGTCTATGAAAAATCCACAATATCACTAACATTTTTAGACACCTGCATTTACATAGATGTAAACAGGAAACTACAAACGACACTACACACTAAAATCACCGACACCCACAACTATCTACACTTTAAGTCTTCCCACCCTAAACACCTCAAAGAGAACCTTCCCTATTCACAAGAACTTAGACTCAGAAAGATATGTTCCAACAATGATGAATTAAATAAACACATTGAAAATCTGGAGCATTAATTCACAACAAGTGGCTATAAACAACACCTAATCAGGGAACAAATAAATAAAGCAATTTCCACACCTAGAGAAGACACCGTAATGTACAAGATTAAAAATAAATCTAACCGCATCCCTCTCGTAACCACTTTCAATCCCACTCTGCCTCCACTATCCCAAATAATCAAAAGTCGCTCAAACCAAACCTAAAAAAATTGTTTAAGGAACCCGGCTTTCTAGCATATCGTAGACCTAAAAGCCTAAAAGAAATCATAGGTAGTAACCACATTTCAGGGGACAAGGTAATCCATAATAAATTAGAACAAAAACGACAGGATTTTCCCAACCATGTAACGAAAAAAGTTTATGTTGCAACCATATTAAACACACGAATTCATTCACTAGCTCAATCACTAAATCTACTTTCAAAATCTACCACGATTTTAACTGTAGAAGTCATAACATAATTTACCTCCTAGAATGCACACAATGCCAGAAACAATATGTAGGAAAATCTGAATGGCCCTTTCACTACAGAATTAATAATTATCGCAATCGAATTAAGTCGACTCCCCATGAAAAATTAGTACCTGTAGAACAACATTTCCGCCCAGAAAAACACGATTTCAAAACCCATGCCAAATTCACTATAATTGAGAAAATAGAAAAGTTCAGGGCAGATAACATTAGAAAGATTTTAGAGTTCTATGAAAATAAATGGATACAACGTTTAAAAACACACTATCCAGCCGGGATAAACCATAAATTTAACAATATAGATAGTATTAATATATAACCCTACAAATCAAGACCTACCCACATTTCTCACCCACACAAGACAGACATGCTTACGGAGGTGTTGAGGCCGCACACTTATACACACACCCACACGGATATACACACTTACACACATCATACTCACTCACTCCCTAATGAGTCAAATGATAACACACACCCAAAGCAATATACACACACTTACACATATCATACTCACTCACTCCCTAAGAACCAAATAACACACACTCACACTTAACAGAGTCACATCCCCTCTCCAGGAACCAATAAAACTGTCAAACTGACCAAGGGAATTCAGAGCAGCATAGATCTATCCAGCTCTTATCTCAAATAACAACTTAAAAGAGACTGTTTGACCAACACAAGGAATGTTAAAAGATTCATGTTAAAAAGATAAAAAAATAAAAAAAAAAACAAATGAAAGCTACAGACAAAAGTTCCTTTTCTCCATCAAGACATTCATTTCTGTAGTTTACTGCTACCAGCAAGCAGAGATATTTCTTCTCCTGATGATGGCCATGTTGGCCGAAACTAGTCGAGGAATCTAAATGAAATAATAATAATAAAAACGAAAGAATATTAATCTACAACCCAGTGTGTCTGAAGATTTAGATGTTTTAATATTTTTTATTGTTCAATATATATATATATATATATATATATATATATATATATATATATATATTGGAACGTCGGTTCACGAATTTAATTCGTACCTGAAGGCCGTTCGTAACACGAAATGTTCGTAAACCGAAACTATTTTTCAATATTGAGAAAAAATACCCAAAAGAAAAGCACGACAGAACGCACGAATGTATACAACATGGCGGGCGACTTAAAAACGATTCCGTTCAGGTTACCTCAGTTCGGCAATGTTGTTATAGAACCGAAATTTTGTTTGATAACCAAAACCGATTTTCATCTCGAATTTTCTGTTCGAAAACCGATCTCTCTCTCTCTCTCTCTCTCTCTCTCTCTCTCTCTCTCTCTCTCTCTCTCTATATATATATATATATATATATATATATAAGGCAATATCGGTTAAGCTTTTCTGTTAGTTTCTTCTGGTATCAAATAATTCGTCTCGTGTAGGGTCAGGTAGAACCCTCTAAAGGAACTGACCACGTTGTTCTACTCAAAATACTTTTGACTCTTACTGGTCGTTTTCAAGGAAAGAAGATAAAACGTAATTAGAAACAGCGTTTATGTTGTTCACTGTCAAAAGTTTGAAATTCACGTCGATTAACAGAGGCTATGATTGTGAAGTAGATTATAGACCATTGTGGAAAAATGACCTTTTCAAAAGCATTTCGTCTACATATTTATAAATCTACCATTCGATCCTGCATTGAATATTAGTGTCATATCTTGTCCGGTGCTCCTATTAGATATATCGTGATTTTCGACAAAATCCAATGAAGCCTTTGAATACAATCGGTCCGGACCTGGCATCTCGACTTCAGTCACTTTACTTCCGTCATAATGTGACTTCCCTCTGCCTTTTCTACAAATATGTGCGCGCCAATTGCTTTGATAAACTTCCCTCCTTTATACACTGACCGTTATGAATTTAAGCGGATGGGTAAATAGGTTTCATTGCTTTATTATTGAATTATCTAAATATAACTGTAAGTTATATTCCAATAGTTTCTTTTCTCGCACTTCACACCTGTGGAACTCTCTTCCGGTTTCTTGCTAACATGCCACCTTCTATCTTTAAAAATTTAAATAAAAAGCCAATCTACATATCCAGTTTTTCTTAACTGTTCTTTTATTGTCCTTTCTCCTCACTAAACTCTTCTCGTTCTCTCTCACTCCCAGTGGTCACTTGCGTCTTAGTGGCATTATTGCCTTTCTTGGGGTGAAATGACTTTTTAAAAAAAACTTATTTTGCAACCATAATGTTGAAAGTTTTTTGTTTTTTTTTATAATATATGTTGCGATTTCTACTCTGCAGGTATCATAGATCTATGGATTACATTATTTTTTTTATTTCTTTTCGTCGTTTTTGTAATTGGAGTGCATCTGGGTGCAGTAAAACAACTCTATAGTATTTTTGTTGTTTAAATCGGTTTTATTAATAATCGTTACTATGATTATCTGAAAATAACTTTTTCATCCACAATAGGATTATAAAATTCATTATTACTAAGGATTTGTTTATTTCTATTTATAGAATATGATTGTAAAAGAAGAGATTAATTTTTTACAGTCAAAATAAGTTTGTTTGTTTTTTTTATGAGGACTGTATTGCATCATTAAGTGCACTCGCTTAGTTATAAAGTCAGGAGTAAATGCTGATGGGTTTTTGTATCCTGAAATAATCAATTTATCATTTATATGATTAAAGACATTGAAAAAAACGTTCTTTTATTGACGCCGTGTTTGTAAATAAACATAAATACGAAGTTACTTTCAAAGACTCGCTTTTCTTCTTTTTTTCTTATACTAATTTTCACGTAATACAAGGCTCAATACCCACCCAAGGTAGAATTTTAGTGTGGAGTTGTATGAGCGTAAGAAAAGTTCATGGGGCTATGCATAATATACAACGTTTAACCCTAGACCGTATGAGGTCAAGATTGTAACGATCATGAAAACATCCTGTAGTTCTTGGCAATAATCTGTCTGAATAGAACTTACGTCTTACTGTAGGAACATAAAGAGAATGGGAATGATTCACCCTTGTCTACGTAGCAGGGCGCGATCCAGTTGTAAAGGTCAGGGGTGGTAGGAAAAAGGAATATGGCCCGTTAGAACACATGCCATGAAAGTAGCGACGGGGCAGCGAATGGCTCGAAACATTCCGTCTGTAGGAAAGGTATTATGAGGATAGAAAATAATTCATCACCCACAAGGCCGCATAGACACATTTGATTTCTATTAAGAGAAGCAAGTTGTGATTTGACAGATCCTGTCTATATATGTAGATTTTATGCTGTATTTCTAAAATAAATCCATGGATAAATTAATAGATTCAATATTTTTGATAAATGGAGGCCACGTATTGTATGTAAGGATGGAACAAGTTTTATGGATTTTCACATTACTGTAATGATATCCAAGTTGGTAATCGACAACTATCTGCATTATTAGCGTTAATAAGTTTGTTTACTTGAATTTTTAAAGGATAGTGCCATCATTTTTGTATTTTTTTTTCTTCTGAATTTATCTTGGTCAACGGGAATTGTTTGAAACTGAACTGTGATTATTCGTATATAGAATGGCAACAACTAGTGAATGAAGAAAATAGTCCGAACATAACACACAATTTCAGCAAGGTCTCTTTATAAGCATTCATTTGAGATCAAGCGACATTCTCTATTCTATTTAATATTATTTAATATTATTTTTCTTACAGAAATAACAGTCCTCTGTTTTAAATTACTAGAGAAATTTTTATCATATAAAAAATGATATATACCTATTATTAATCTGTTTAGTGATAGGCGATTTTCAAAATTCGTGACTGCTTATGTGTTTTTTTTCTGTATTGCTTTGTTTTTACACATAATCCCATTAGTAGAATGGAGTATAACAAAGTTAAATAGAATTCTAAGTGGAAATTGCAAATTATACATGGAGGAAAGAGCACAGATCATAGGATTTCAGAACGTGGAGTTGATGAATAAAATGAATTTTGTCCAACGCTTCCTTTTAAAATCGTGAAAGAACAATAAATCTCAAGAACGATGTTATAAAATGACACCCATTTTGAAAATCACTAAGCGTGAAACAGGTACTGATAATGTGGGCAACTAAAAAATGTTATGCAACATGAAATGTTACGCACAGGTTCGAACCCTGCTGGAAGGAATAATTCGTATTTCAGTAGATTTTAATTACGAAATGAGAGAGAAAAATCAACCGCAAGGAAGAGAAGAAGAAAAATCGGGGGTGGAATGAAAGAAAAGCTAGAGGAAGAAGACAGAAAGAAAAGCTAGAGGAAGGAGACAGAAAGAAAAGTTAGAGGAAGGAGACAGAAAGAAAAGCTAGAGGAAGAAGACAGAAAGAAAAGTTAGAGGAAGGAGACAGAAAGAAAAGTTAGATGAAGGAGACAGAAAGAAAAGCTAGAGGAGTAGGAAGGAGACAGAAAGAAAAGTTAGAGGAAGGAGACAGAAAGAAAAGCTAGAGGAAGAAGACAGAAAGAAAAGTTAGAGGAAGGAGACAGAAAGAAAATCTAGAGGAAGAAGACAGAAAAAGAAAAGTTAGAGGAAGGAGACAGAAAAAGAAAATCTAGAGGAAGAAGACAGAAAGAAAAGTTAGAGGAAGGAGACAGAAAGAAAAATCTAGAGGAAGGAGACAGAAAGAAAAGCTAGAGGAAGGAGGAGACAGAAAGAAAAGTTAGAGGAAAACAGAAAAGAAAAGCTAGAGGGAAGAAGACAGAAAAGAAAAGTTAGAGGAAGGAGACAGAAAGAAAAGCTAGAGGAAGGAGACAGAAAGAAAATCTAGAGGAAGGAGACAGAAAGAAAAGCTAGAGAAGAAGAAAAGACAGAAAAGAAAAGTTAGATGAAGGAGACAGAAAGAAAAGCTAGAGGGAGGAAGGAGACAGAAAAAAATTAGAGGAAGGAGACAGAAAGAAAAGCTAGAGGAAGAAGACAGAAAAAAAAGTTAGAGGAAGAGACAGAAAGAAAAGTTAGAGGAAGGAGACAGAAAGAAAAGCTAGAGGAAGGAGACAGAAAGAAAAGGTAGAGGAAGGAGACAGAAAGAAAATCTAGAGGAAGAAGACAGAAGGAAAAATTAGAGGAAGGAGACAGAAAGAAAAGTTAGATGAAGGGAGAAAGAAAAAGAGGAAAAGCTAGAAAAGTTAGAGGAAGGAGACAGAAAGAAAAAGTTAGAGGAAGGAGACAGAAAGAAAAGCTAGAGGAAGAAGACAGAAAGAAAAGTTAGAGGAAGAAGACAGAAAGAAAATCTAGGAGGAAGAAAATCTAGAACAGAAAAGAAAAAGCTAGGAAGGAGAAGACAGAAAGAAAATCTAGAGGAAGGAGACAGAAAGAAAAGTTAGAGGAAGAAGACAGAAAGAAAAGCTAGAGGAAGAAGACAGAAAGAAAAGTTAGAGGAAGGAGACAGAAAGAAAATCTAGAGGAAGGAGACAGAAAGAAAAGCTAGAGGAAGGAGACAGAAAGAAAAGCTAGAGGAAGAAGACAGAAAGAAAAGTTAGAGGAAGGAGACAGAAAGAAAAAAAGAGGAAGAAGACAGAAAGAAAAAGTTAGAGAAGGAGAAAGAAAAGCTAGAGGAAGAAGACAGAAAGAAAAGCTAGAGGAAGGAGACAGAAAGAAAAGCTAGAGGAAAGAAGAGAAAAGCTAGAGGAAAAGACAGAAAAAGTTAGAGGAAGGAGACAGAAAGAAAATTAGAGGAAGGAGATGAAGGAGACAGAAAAGAAAAGCTAGAGGACAGAAAAGAAAAGAAGGAAGGAGACAGAAAGAAAAGTTAGAGGAAGGAGACAGAAAGAAAAGCTAGAGGAAGAAGACAGAAAGAAAAGTTAGAGGAAGGAGACAGAAAGAAAATCTAGAGGAAGGAGACAGAAAGAAAAGCTAGAGGAAGAAGACAGAAAGAAAAGTTAGAGGAAGGAGACAGAAAGAAAATCTAGAGGAAGGAGACAGAAAGAAAAGCTAGAGGAAGAAGACAGAAAGAAAAGCTAGAGGAAGAAGACAGAAAGAAAAGTTAGAGGAAGGAGACAGAAAGAAAATCTAGAGGAAGGAGACAGAAAGAAAAGCTAGAGGAAGAAGACAGAAAGAAAAGCTAGAGGAAGGAGACAGAAAGAAAAGCTAGAGGAAGAAGAAGACAGAAAAGAAAAGTTAGAGGAAGGAGACAGAAAGAAAAAGAGGAAGGATGAAGGAGACAGAAAAAAGAAAAGCTAGAGGAGTAGGAAGGAGACAGAAAGAAAAGTTAGAGGAAGGAGACAGAATAAAAAGCTAGAGAGGAAGAAGAAAAAAGAAAAAAGTTAGAGGAAGGAGACAGAAAGAAAATCTAGAGGAAGGAGACAGAAAGAAAATCTAGAGGAAGGAGACAGAAAGAAAATCTAGAGGAAGGAGACAGAAAAAAAAATCTAGAGGAAGAAGACAGAAAGAAAAGTTAGAGGAAGAAGACAGAAAGAAAAGTTAGAGGAAGGAGACAGAAAAGAAAATTAGAGATGAAGGAGACAGAAAGAAAAGAAAAGAGAGGAGTAGGAAGGAGACAGAAAGAAAAGTTAGAGGAAGAAGACAGAAAGAAAAGTTAGAGGAAGGAGACAGAAAGAAAATCTAGAGGAAGGAGACAGAAAGAAAAGCTAGAGGAAGAAGACAGAAAGAAAAGTTAGAGGAAGGAGACAGAAAGAAAATTTAGATGAAGGAGACAGAAAGAAAAGCTAGAGGAGTAGGAAGGAGACAGAAAGAAAAGTTAGAGGAAGAAGACAGAAAGAAAAGTTAGAGGAAGGAGACAGAAAGAAAAGCTAGAGGAGTAGGAAGGAGACAGAAAAGCTAGGGAGGAGGAGGAAGGAGACAGAAAAGCTAGAGGGGGAGGAAGGAGACAGAAAAGCTAGAGGAGGAGGAAAAAAAGCTATAGCAGGAGTAAAGGAAAGAGGGGGAGAAAAAGTAATAGGGAGAGAAAAGAGAGGAAGAGGAGAAGAAGAAAAGGAAGCGGGGGAAAAACATAACGAGAAAAATAATCCACACTGAAATAAAACAGAAAAAAAAACAAGATTAAAGAAGAGGAAAAGAAAAACATTTTATTTTTTTTATCTGTCTTCGCCTCAAAAATATTCTTGTGAAAATAAAATATCCTAGTGATTCTAATGTTGCTATGACAATATTTCATTAATTAAATTTTCCAAGGCAGATGTTTTTTCTCGACTAACTGACATTCAGGAATAGACTAAAAGTACCGTAATGTTTTCTATAAATTCGCATTGTCTCAAACAGTTGTCATACATCTGCGGTTAGAATATGCCATCGAATCCCTGTTATATACAACCTTCATCTACGCATCTATTTCCATGTAAGGAATCCATGAAAGCTCAAATGTAAGACATTTTCAAATATGGATCGATGCTAAATAAACAGTGTGTGCCATAAAAAATGTAGATAAATATAGATAAATATTAAATAGCAGCTAAGAGTAGAAAATGAATGAAATGTTTTCATAAAATGACACGCGTACATTTCACAGGTCTTTACAATCAGTGACGCTTGTTTTAATTCCCGGTCATTAAAAATAATTTCGTCTTGATTTTCCATACATTTTATAAAATCATTTAAAACATTTCTAAAATACAATATAATTATAGCAGAGGGCAAATAGTTAATTAAAAAGCTATAAACTATCTATATAATAACCCTATTCCTTCATCAAAGATAACAATAAATTCTAATCACTTACAATCTCTTCTTTTTTTTTTGTCAATATACAGCGCGCAGACTGGCCATAAAACCTTGTGCAATCTTCGATCAAATTTTGGTAAAATTTCATTTTTTAATTACCATTTTTGTCTAATCCCAAAAGTATTTAGCCTGTGTACGGATTTTCTAAGCGTAGCACAAGGCCGAAAGCATGGGGTACCCAGTGAGGATTGAAATTACTACTCAGTTATAACAGTTCTAGCGAGACAAGCTTGCTAACAATTACACCACATCGGGGTGCCCAAATATTTAGCCTGTGTATGCAGAAAAACCTAATGATAGATTGATGCAGTAGCGGTAAACCTAATGGAAAACATTAATTCATATTCTCTAAAACGCAGAAACCCCCTTGCGTCTTAGTGGCTTTATGTCCTAACTTGGGGTGAAATGATTAAATTAAAAAAGAATCGCTATTTTTTTTTTTTTTTTTTTTTAGTTCCTGATCTTTTGTTGTTCTTGGTCCGTAAGAATGCATTCTCTTTTTCTCATATTCTTTCACAGAGTCTGCGTACCAACCCAGTCAAACGCATTCGAGATATCTAAAGCCACCGCCCGAGCCTCGCTTTTTTTCTTTTTTCAAATTGGTTTATAGCGTAGTTTAAATATCTGTAAATTGTATGTTTTTAAAAGGTAATAGAGAAGCGGTTATCATTTTTTTTTATTTCATAGCCCTAAACTTATGTATCAATGTCATTGATTACCTCCAATGTAAAAAATAGATCCGTGTTACTTAAGTAAAAGATCTATGTGCATGATTCTTCTAAAATATGTGATCAACCTTAAAGAAAATTATCTAAATGCGCAAGAAAAAATTGAAAGGTCTACCTATCATTACAATCTCAGTTAACATTCTCAGCTGACATGAAGTGAAAAAAAACTATATTAAATCCATTGCTAGGTCAGCTGCTAAAAAAGTTGATTCACTGTGTCGTGCGAGGCAATTTTTCTCTCCAGAATCTATCTTACTTATCTATAAGTCTACCTTTCGTCCATGATTAGAATATTGCTGCCACAAATGGTCCGGTGCTCCTGCTAAATCCAAAGAATCAGCAATATTATTGGTCCTAATCTGGTGGCTTGGTTTCAGTGACTTTCCCACCGCCATAAAGTTGCCTACTTATGTCTTTTCTATAAATATTTTCAGGGTAATTGTTCAGATGAGCTCTTCGCTATGGTACCTAGACTTTTTGAATTTAAGCGTAGTACTAGATTAGCATCGAGATCCCATCACTTTACCATTGCGATGTAGTCGCAAATTCTATGCTAACAGTTTCTTCTCTCGCACTTTTCGCTTTTGGAACTCCTTTCCGGCTCCATGCTTTCCAGGCAACTTTAATCTTCAACAATTTAAATAAAATATCAATCGCTATCTACTCTCCTCCTGATTACACTTTTCGTTCTCGCTCATTAGTAATATTTCTGTTGCTAATTCTTCCACACTCAGTAACCCCTTATGTCTTAGTGGCTTTATTGCCTTGCATTGATTGAAATCGGTTTGAAAATTTACGTTTCATTTGCTGGAAATGTCCCAAATTTATTTATTACATTTCTGAATGATGTTCAAACTGTTTACAGCCACTGATAATATTCATTAAAATAATAATTTTCATTTAGATTTTTTTTTGGATTGTATGGTATTAGTTATTTAGTATAACAGACTACGTTTTCATTTTCTTCCCTTATTCCGTATATATCTATTTTTAATGTATATTTTAATGTAGAGAATTTTCTCAACTCGTAAATCACATACCTTAGTGATGTATTATTTTGGTAACACAGACTTGGAACGTGGATCACATATTCAAACAACATCAATAGATCGATCTTTCTAATCCAATTCTTAATGTCATTACGCTGAGTTCACTAATCTATTCCATTACATATATCCATTCTTTAATGACATAGCAGTAAACAGAAGTTGGAACTCTAATTAAGCATAAGTTATAAATAAAACTAATGAGAAGTCTCTCAATGGGTGGATTTGTTTTTGTTAGTGCAAGTTGAATCAATGGGTTAATAAGACCTTAGATGATTACCTTCATTAGTTAATGAACCTGCAGAGAATAATGATTTTAAAGCTGAAACTTAAGTTAGCCGAGCGATACCCCGATACCTTTTTTGTGTGTGTGAGGCGGGGGGGGATATATAAATTGTTTCAAATAAGACTTCAGACTCCAAAAATAGGATTTGGATCGAATTCAGACTCAAAAATGACAAAAACGGTGTGTATGTGTGTGTGTGTGTTTGTATGTTGGTGCCTCTGTGTGTGCGTTGGTGACAGAATGAGATAGATTGTTTATAATGTGCTGGAAGTATGGCGAAATCTGTGTAATGTTTATCCTTGAAGATCAGTCAGCAGAGCTCATATTTATCTTCATAGCCATTTTTTTTTATATTTGATACTGATCAGAAAATTCAATTTTGGGACTACTTGCTTCGCGTGAATAACGGCGGCTTCACGACGCGGTACGGAATTATACATATATATATATATATATATATATATATATATATATATATATATATATATATATGTGTGTGTGTGTGTGTGTGTGTGTGTGTGTATTAAGTAGTACATATACGCGTATATGTAGTAGTTAATACATATCTTTTGCTCTTTATAACCGCATTGAGCATTTACGTCTACACTTCATGCATAAATTTGACGATTATTTATTCACTTGCCTGCGTAAGCACACCAGCACACGCCTGCTTATATTTTGCCGTTTCATTTATCTACTCTACAACTATATATATATATATATATATATATATATATATATATATATATATATATATATATATATATATATATATATAAGATAAAATAATGGTTTGTGGACAATTTAAATACAACATCTCTATGCATGCACAAAGCAAAATGTATGGAGACAACTGAAACTGTATGAAAACAAATTGTTGAAAAGAAAAGCGTCTTTACGTCGCTAAATATCTACAGTTACATTCCATAGCTCTCAGAAACCAAGTTTTTTAGCTGTCACGGGGAATTTAATGAGGACAGCAACTTCGTCGCCATACTTTTTTAAACGCATTTCGCCCCAAGCAAGAAAATAATGCAACTATGATGCAAGGGGTTACTTGGAGTGAAAAAGAAAGAAAAGGCTTTAGTAAGAAGAAAGTACAATAAAAGAAAAGGATACAAAAAAGCAAAAGATGGCGACTGGCGTTATATTTTAATTTTTGTAGATTGTAGGCAATAGTAAAGCAAGAAACCGGAGGAGAGTTCCACAGGTGAAAAGTACGAGAATAGAAACTATTAGAATAGAAATAACGGTTCCGTCTAGCTAGTTTAACAGTAATCCATCTAGTAATACGTTTAAATTCACGGCGATGTGGGTACAAAAGAGGAAAGCTTATCAGAGCAAGTGCCAGGAAAGGATACGGAAAGAATACAGAGTAGTCATATCATGGCGGTGGTAAAATGACTAAAGTAGAGATGCCAGGTTAGAACCGATTACATTGTAGACACTTCAGAAGTGCGAGGGAAGAAATTATTTAAGTAGAACATACGGTTAGATCTTGATAGTTCAATAGTAAAACAGGGAGACATAGTCGCTAATCTTGTCGGTCAGTCCTGGATGAAATACACGCTTGGGCGAACATGTCTCTTTCGGTTCATGACTGAGGAGAGAGATTTTTCCTGCAAGAGGTTGCTGTTTCTTTCTGTGGTAAACTAGTTGCCAACCAAGGCTATAGAATCCAGCCTGTCTTGCTATTCAACCCATAGTTGGAGAAGAGATGGTTTCATAATTTTCCCAAGTGTATTTGCGCGAATGCTTAAATTCATGCAGTTGAGGCACCAAGGAGGAAAGCTTATCAGAAGAACTGTGCCCTCAGATTTCATTGTCACGCTTACCGTCCTCTATTGAAAAACTTCTTATATATTTAAGGTGTCCCGCTATGTGATTCATTCGCCTAAATTCCTTAGATAATTTACTCGATCTTCGTTAAGTATAGACGAAGTAAAAGAATCATTGTTCAGACAGGTAAAGTTGTAATGATATATTTTGTAATATTAAGTGAAAAACAGAAAATTGTCAGTAATAATAAAAAGCAAATGCAAGCGGAAATTTACTGATTTTCTCATAATGGTTGATTAAGCCGATCTATTGATGGAAGGATTTTGTTGATAATTTGCTGCCTCTATTATTTCCGCGGGAAAAAAAATCATATAAAATTATATCCGATTTGCATCGTAAAAATCCATTTGATCCCGAAAACCCAGAGGTTCTTAGGCTGGTATAAAATAAATATTGAAATATCTTGTTTGGATTTCTTCGAGTCAGTTCAATTTTTTTTCTAATCATTTTACAAGGCTTATGACAACATTACGTTCAAACAAAACTTCCCGTATTTAGAAGGGTGATCGCTTCGAGATACCGGCCGCTGTATGCTTGAATGTGCGGGTGGTGTAATGGATAATTGCTCGAAATGGTTAATCGGAGAGCCGAGTTCCAATTCCCTTTGGGTTCGTTATATTTACTTATACGCAAGTACCCTTGGGGAAAGGTATGAAACAGACTGTCACCATATGGTGTTGAAGTCAGTGTCCACTTTTATATTGACATACGTTCTATCCCTGATAATGAGAAGTTTTTACTCATAAATATAACATACCTTAAAACTATATGTGAATGTGTGTGTGTGTGTGTGCATGTGAAAATGATGAGACAATGTAGAAAATTTATTATATTCTAACTTGAGATAGACAAAGAGAGCATACTCTCTCCGGCGAAACGTGTCGTCAATAAAATTTCCAATTTTGTCATATTCAATTTTGTTTCGGATACTATTTTACATCCCACAAAACATTATATATATATATATATATATATATATATATATATATATATATATATATATATATATATATATATATATATATGGATAAACAACAGTTTTAGATTATAAAGCAAAAGAGCGTCAGTTATTGATATTGTCAGAATATTCGTGTGTTTTGTATAACGTACCTAATATTATTAAAAGTATTCTCTTCTGAATTCTCTCTCTATCCCACTCTCTCTCATATATATATATATATATATATATATATATATATATATATATATGCTATCCGGTTTTAGTTGTTTTCCTGCTCCTCTCTCTGCCACCTTCTCTGCTTCACCTACCATTCTTTTACAATCAACTTTACACGTTTCAATTGAGTGTGACTTTTTTTTCTTTATACATTTCACCAGACATACGAAGCAAAAGTCGGTTATTTGACTCTTTTACAGAAAAGGTTTTTGCCACTCTAACCTTTTGCTGTCAAATTTACTTCCTACCGATTCTCATAATGCATCCGTTTTTCGTTGCGCCTTTTTTACTTAGAATGCGACGCATTATATATTATTTAATATGCAAAGACAGCAATGCGTGCATTCATCACATGTCAACCAAATTCACTCAGGTACACCAATGTTTCTTAACCTTACGTTAGTCACATGTGATGTTTTGTTACTCCAGAATGTTTAAACTACTCGTAATTCCTAGTTGGCAACTCGTTCCTTTTGCACAATCCCATATCTTTCCTGACTCACTGAGAGTGTGTAGTACGCGTGTGGCGCAGTTGTGACTAAGTTAGCGTCAGAGGCAGGCGTCAGGGAATTATCCATTTTCGGAGATCTCGAAGTGACTAATGCAAGGTTAAAAAATATACAAAAGATATTTTCAGTCTCAGAAATGTCCACTCTATATAATAAATGTGAATGTCAGTGTGTCACAATTTTTCAACTTCACTTCTAGAGGCTGTAACCCAACATATCATACCATTTTGGAATCAGGCCGACGCCGTGAGCAAATTAAAAGCTATCCAGGCCGGATCCAAACCAAAAATTCTGAAATTTTGGATTCTTAAGTTTCAGCGATTGTTTTCGGCGATTTTTTTACATGATTTTTTGCGACAAATTCTTTTATACGAATAATAATTTTTATTACTTGGAAATAAATTTGGAAAAAATCGAAATTAATTGCGATATCCAGCGAAAGTCACCCATGAAATAAAAATAAGTATTTGTACGGAAATTAAGGAGATACGTACTTCAAATTGTCTTTCAATTAAGTGGCGGCAGAAGAATTATCGTTGAACTTTTAAAAGGTAAGCTTAGATATAAACGTAATATTTAAATGCAGCGATCAATTTTGAGTTCTTCTGTAGTTTATTGTTGTCTATCACATCTACTCCTCTCTACCTATTGTGATGAAGGCCTAATCAATTGAACTCCACAGGAGATAACTTAAATGCCACCCGATAAGCTAGTAAGACATAAATTTTTGTATATTATTTTATGTGTACATATACTAGTTGTCGGGAAGGTGACCCACTGATGTTATCGGCCTAGGCAGACGATCCTTGCATGTAGCACCGTTAGAAATTGTCTAGAAACACTACTACGGCTTGATCCAAGCATTGTAATTGAAATTAGGTGGACAGGACAATTCAGAAATCGTCGATGGTTGTGTGATCGCATAATGTGACAAGTCAACTTAAACGAGGGGTTTCAGCGTACCGGCCTTGTTTGATCAAGGCCAGATTATGTGCTCTCTCTCCTGGTATCTGCAAGTAAAGTCTACTCAGTATAGTTGCAATATCGTTGGGCTTATTGGGTATTGAACAAACAGACATCCGAGCAAGAGTCTGCAACAGACGTTGATTAGCCATCCTAGCAGACGTGTGTGCTCGGATACGAGAACCGGCCATTATGTGTCATATGCGTGTTAATATATCTACAGAATGTTTTACCAATATATTACTTTGACTGACTTCTATCCAAAATATTAAAAAGAGTGAACAATTTGCTTTTTTGTTTGTTTTTTATTGTTTTTGTTTTGTTTTTTTTATCAACTCTATGATATTTTTTCTGGAAGTGTCTAGTGATTACATGACACCGGGGGCATTTTATAAAACACAGAAAAGCGCTTTCTCATCGCTGTTTTCTTTTATCCTCGACAGTTCACAAGACAGACAACCTCGACAAAGCACGTGATCAAAACCGTTTAAAAGTTTACCAAAAAGTGAATACGAAAATTTGAGTTTCCTAGTTTGGGTCCGTGAAAATTTCACGTTTTTCTATTTTAATATTCTGATTCATCTTAATTCTTCAGTTAAACATTGAATAAGATAATGGCGAGTTCTATGACAATAAAATATCCGTAGAAATTCCCCTATCGCATTATTAAATTTTAAGCTTAACAACTTTAACAAAATATTGCAAAAACAATCAAATATTAATGCCGGTCGTTATTTTAAGAAGAGGGTACAAATGAAAAGATTTAAAATTGACAACTTTTTTCCATTTCACTGAAACGAACATTCATCACTTCTATCTTGCCATCGTTCTATTATTTTCTTACTGAAACCAAGTAGTGTCCTTGATGTATTTTGTCTTCTCACGTGCTCAAATAGTCCATTATTTAATGAGGTTTTAGCAGGAGACTTTAAAGCTTTCTACCTTTCTTTCACTGAAACCATGAAGTGTCTCTGATATATTTAGTTTTCTACGTGATCAAAACGTAATCATTCATTATTTATGATACTGACAGGACGTAACGGTCGTGAGAACTAACGAAGGGAGGGACAAGCACAATTATTATAATCTTATAATTTCGGCTTTCAAATCAGATATGTAGAAGGAACTGATCAAGGATTCAACTGGGCAACGATTCTACGACCATACCCGGATATAAAACTGACAAAGGTTGGACTGTATATTTGAGGGTGAGCTAAAAAGTAATGCAGTTTGTTTTATTATATAAGATATAACAAACACAAACAAACATATCCTACGTCAATATATATATATATATATATATATATATATATATATATATCACAGGTTCGCATATCAACTTCCCAACGTAGTCACCCACCTGACTTACCAGTGAAAAGGTCACTCGGGAGCAAACGTTATGGTGGTGATGAAGTGAAAACTGCTGTAAGGAATTGACTACATCAGTAGTCGGCAGAGTTTTACAAAGATGAAATACCTACCTTCATTCGTAGGTTGAACACTGCCTTTGAAAGAGGCGGTGGCTATGTTGAGTAGGGAGGTGAACTTGTGATCTATAGCTATATCGTCATGTACGATATGTTCGATTGGGTCATTTATTATACAATAAAGAAAATTGCATTACTTTTTGACTCACCCTCATATTAGTAACGCGCAACCATGATTAGTATTTTGTCAAAAGAAAAACTACAATCTTTTGAACCAATTCATTAATCGCTAAAGAAATCAAAAGCAGAAAAAGAAAAAAAAAAGAAAAAAATGGCGCTGCAGACGCTGAAGTTGCGTGGGAAATGTCATCGAAAATAACTATTCCGTGTTCGCATGTGTCTGCAGTACGAGTTACGATAGATCAAGGCGCAGACAACAATTGTCATATCGACGTTAGCGTTTAGAGCAAAGATGACGGAAATAATGATGGCGGTGAATCATTAGACGAACGAAATGAAAAGCAATAGGCCATCGATTTCAAACGATAAAACACAGACCCTGCCCAAATTCCCAGTAGAGACATGAAACAAAACTACAGTCTCATTAACATATTTTTGTTGTTATTCTTGTAATTATGATTACAATGCCATTCTATATATAATAACATTATATATGTCTGTCTGTCAGTATCGCCTACATCAACTCTGATTACTAATAAGCCTTTTTCTTCCTGATTTCAATGCATTTCTATTGAAAAATCAAATACAATGCATTTGTTTTATATAACAAAAAAGTCCAGGTCTGTGAAAGATATTTGTCTTATTTCCTGGCCAATAACTTTTTTTTCTGATATTCAATGCGTGATATACAAACTGAGCCCAGAATGTTACTAAAACTCATTTTAAGTTTTAAAAAAATGTTGAAGTTCAGCATTTTATCAAGAAAAATAACTCAAGGGAAATAAGTGAGCGGTGGAGTATTAGTACGGACAGTGGGTAAAGATAAGAATAGTTGAAACCTTGTTTCAGTTAAACGACATTAAAATTATGATTATCATTTGATGTATCGCTCTCGCAATCAGTCAAAATGAGAGTCAAAGAGGAAAGAATATGTGAAGAAAGAGAGACAAAAGAAAAGAAAGAGGGGAGATGCGAAGAAAAGAGAGAGGTGTTAGGAAGAATGAGAATGTGGAGCGAGAGAAAGAAGAGAGAAGAGGAGAACGAGGAAGAGAAAAAAAGAATAAAAATGGGTCGAGGAAGAGAGAGAGAACGAAAAAAAAGAAAGTGGTGAGAAAGTGAAAGAAGAAAATTGAAGGCAGGAGAGAGTGAGAGAGAGAGAGAATGTGGAGAAGAGGAAAAAAGAACCTGGAGAGCGAAAGAAGAGATAATGTGTGGAGAGAGAGGGGAAAATGAAATAGAGGAGAGAGAGAGAAAAAGGAAGTTGAGAGAGGGAAAAGAATTTTTCCTCTCTCAACGAAAGAGCGAAAGAAGAGATAATGTGTGGCGAGGGAGAGAAGAAATGAGAGAAAGCGAAAAAGTTATGAGACATAGTGAAAGTAGCGAGAGAGTGAGACAAAAACATGGGAAGAGAGAAAAGGAAAGTGGGAAAAGATAGCAGAAAAAGCGGGGAGAAAGGCAAAGAAAGAAAGGGGGAGAGAAAAGCAAAGAAAGAAAGGGGAGAGAAAGGCAAAGAAAGAAAGGGAAGAGAAAAGCAAAGAAAGAAAGGGGAGAGAACAAAGAAAGAAAGGGGAGAGAAAAAAGAAAGAAGGGGAGAGAAAGGCAAAGAAAGAAAGGGAAGAGAAAAGCAAAGAAAGAAAGGGGAGAGAAAAGAAAAGAAAGAAAAGGGAGAGAAAACGAATGCAAGGGTTTGAGACAGTTACAGATTTCTCACTAGCGCCATTGACCGAGGTTCGAGCCCAGGCCAAAGTCAAGAGTTTCCCCAATGCTAATTTTTAAAGCAGAAATCTATTCTCGCTTGGATGACTGATGCAAAACAATCTTCCTGCCACTATTTCATGTCGATTTTAATCATGGCGTCATTGTTGTCTATATTCTAGCTCTAAATAAAAAGATTAGAGACAGACGCCAACTGGAAGATTAGAGATGTACACGTGCAGGCCTCAAGCTCCATATTCACACCGCCCAGAACATGTGAGCTTTCGTTTCCATGTAAACACAGACAACTTTGAAGTCTTGGTTTTACGTGATCAAAGGATTGGCAAGGGCTTCGTTGATAACGTCGAAGCACTTCTAGCAATCTGTTATAAAAAAGAAACTCATGCTTTAAGAGAGATACTTTTTCTTCTTCAATAATCCTTATACATATTCTAGTAGATTTTATATCTATATAATAAATGCGAATATCAGTGTGTAACACTTTCAACCTTACTCCTAGAGACCGTAGCCCAATATATACCATTTTAGAATCAGGCTGACTCCATGAGCAAGTGAAAAATATTCCGTACCGAATCCGGTCCCGCAATCCTGAAATTTTGGATTCCCAAGTTTTCATTACTGCCATTGTTTTCGGATTCCGTCATCTTGGCTTCTATTGATAAAAACAAATTCGCAAGTAATGCGATTGTTATAACTTAATAGGGGAAATTAATTGCGAAATCAGCGAAAGTCACCTATTAAATAAAAATAGTTGTTTGTACGGAAAATAAAGACATATGTACATAATGCAATACTTAAATGCAGCGATCAATTTTGAGTTCTTGTGTTCTTTAAAGTTGCCTATCCTATACGGCAGCAGTATGCCCCGCAAAAAATATTGCGAAAAACAGAGCCAAGACTGCAAAAGAAAGTCTCATGCAAATGAAAACGCAGATCAAATGGTAACAAGGAGAGCTTCCAATCCTGAGAATATTCAAAGATTTACTGACTCTCAAACTTCTGAATAAGCCGAAGATCCAATCAAGAGCCCTTCGCTGGAGCCGGCTTAAATGCCACCTGATATTTATTATTTCCGAAAAACTTAATTTTCCGTCGCAAAAAGAAAATGGAGAATTATTCTTACAACCGCCAAAATGTTTCGGTTTTCAAAAACCTACAAAAGATTGATAAGCCGTACAAACAATAATTTTACTGACAACCATACACACTGTTTTCTTATAATAGATAGTTATGTCTTTATTCCCGCTTTCTTTTACTACACTGTCTACTCCCTGCAGTTTTGTGTGTGTGTGTATAAAGTAGGAACAGGCGTATTTTATTTATAAAATAAAATTAGGGTAATGTTTTTGTACATAGTAAATGATACTTATATTTGAAACACTTTCACTACTGCATCGGCTATCAGGGAACCCTTCAATAAGTCACACAAGAAGGATACAATTTGTATTTATAAAAAAAGAAAAGAAACCTTCCAAAACAATATTCGCTCAGCGTTCACTCATTTTGAATATAAAACCCATATTTTGCGCCAACCTCCAGAAGAAAATCTATAAAGTTAATAATCAGGAAATGTGGATTGCCAAGCAAGAAAATATTTTAAAAAGTTGTTGTTGTGGTGCATAAATAAATAGACGAAATCACGCAAAACAAGAAGTGCGTTTGATAGATATATGAAAACAACTGAAATAACAACTTTAAGTAAAGAGCTGAAAATAAACCTTGTCATTTAGGGGGAAAATACATGGAAACTGATTTCTCAATAGTAATTTTAATTGTTGAACATAGAATTACACTGAACTGACCTGATTGCAAAGATGGAGGTGGCGTCCTGTATGGAAATAGTCAGTCGATACAACTAGGCGGAGTGGAAACAATGTTTTGGTTGATATTGTCGACAGTAAAATTATAGGCCCCTTCAAAGTTGATGGTATTGAAATAAATGCAGAAAATCACTGTAAGTTCTCGGACAGTACTAGTTTCTTTCATATTGATTGGTATAATCACGACTAAAGAAACTTCAAGTAAAAAAGTACATTTATGCATAACAATTTTTGCAAAGATTTCTACTCCATTAATCAAAAAGTTTCCAAAGACAACAAATTAATGGATAAACTTTCAGGTTTTGCAGTCTTTAATTCAATAGAAAACTAATTGTCGCTCATTATAAGTGATGACACTGGAAATCACTATAGAAAGAAATGACATCACGAAACAATGAAATTGCTGTAAGTTAAAACAATAGAATAAATTAACAAAATAAATGAATAAAAAGCTGGAGATGGTTCGAAGATTTTCAAGGAGTTCATATAAGTATGTGAAATAATAAAGATTATCCAGGACCATGGGATAATGTGTTAATCAAATGTGTTTCTATAGGTATAGAGATCGCTAAAAAAATGAGCATAGCATGATGAAAAAGACGCCAAACTTGACGAAAACAAAATTTTATCGTTTAAATGTTTATGTTATTATTAAGAGAAAAGATCAAAGTATCTGGGGGTATATTTTTACATTTTTTAATCGTTCGTAGCATTTTCGTTAAAAATCTTGTTTTGTTTTTTTTTGTTTGTTTGTTTTTTTTTTGAGTCAGCAAAATTGACAGATAATCAATCATGGCAACAGTTTTTTTTTCCATTTTTATTAAAAAAAAAAATAAAAATTTCAGTTTGAAATTCTTTTAAAAATCAATTATCATTTTTTCAAAACTTATTATTAGAAATTATAATGTTTATTTAAAATACTTTGAACCGAAAAGATGTAATTTGAAAATAAAACAAAGCAGGTCATAACCTTTCACGTCACTTGACAGGCGATAAATGACATATTGACGGATTACGTGAGGATAATGCCTTCTACGGAAGGAGAGAAGTGAAGTTAGTTACATTTAAGTGAACAAATTATTTACCTCGTTATTTTTAAGGAAAACTTTCAGCGTTCTAATTTTTTTTTGTACATACTTAGCATTCACCTTTACGTTTACGATGCTTTATGGAAAATATATTCTAAAGAGATTAAAATAAGACTTAAGAGTGAGATTAAATTTCATATTTCATAAGAAAGGTATCTAATTAATTTATAGGAACCCTTCTTATGAAATTTTATCAGAAGTGTACATAAAATACTATAATTATATGTACATTTATTACATTTTACTGTGTTATTTGTATTTCCATTCATTTTATTATTAATTTTGATATTTCATTGATGGAAAAATGTCATAACTGAGATTAATATAAAAATAAGATCATATAAATTTCATAAGATGATACTGATACTTGTAGGTACCCTTCTCAGTTGAAATTGAAAAATCAAATAAACTTCTCCACACGTGTTTCGCAAAATAAAGGCCTTAACAGCGGAGAACAATGTTTAACTCAAATAACGCAACATAATTGTATTCTGGTTGGTCTTTCGTACTTTATAATTACAGCCCCATTATAAACACAAAATTACAATTCTTAATTATTGCGTGTCTTCTGATTAGTCAAAACGATACAATTTACAACGCGCTAAAAAAAAGAATAAAGAAACTTACGAAAGCGGATGCGGCTTTTAACTAATTTTATATTTTAACAACTTAAATGTAAGAATTTATTATAATTAAATAACAGATAATTGTATTAAAAATTCATTTTTCATCGAAAAAAATTTTCGCTTTCAGAAATATTGTCCATATTCATAAAAAAACAACTAAAAGCAAATAAATGCATTTGAAATTAAATAATATCTTTGTTTTATTGAGTTTTGTATGTTACAATTCAGAGCTGATTTTCAGGTGGGGGGTCCAATTAAAAACAAAAAAAAACATGATTTGCGTTCCTCAAAGCCTTGTGCTTTTAACTAATGTAATCACTAAAGTGGACTCGATCGAATTTCTAGAGTTTTCATAAAAATAGTTAGGGGGTAATAAATATAAAAAGATATATATATATATAGATATATATATATATATATATATATATATATATATATATATATATATATATATATATATATGTATGTATGTATATGTACATACACACTTCTTTATGTCACGTGTCCCTCAAAAGGACGTAAGTGATCATGGCTCTCCATAATTTCCCATTCTTTGTAGATTTTAATGTTTTTTGATTTTTTGTTATTTCTTCTAAACCCTGTTCCGCCATCCATTTACTGAAGTTCATTAAGTATGTTGTGAATTGTTTTCCTTAGTCCCTCTTGCCTTCAATCTGCCATGTGAGTGTTCAAATTTCTGAGCTTTCCTTCTTCATCATATGCCCCAGAAATTGTTTTACCTGATGTTAAGTAAATGTTTTATTTTTGTTTAAAAACCTCGTCTTTGCTCACAGGTTCAACGCAGGGTATCCTCAGCATCCTTCTGACTCTTCTTCATCTTTGATGAGATTGTTCAGCATTCACTGCGATATAGTAGGTCAGATATCACGTAACAGTTCAGTACACTTTTCTTTGTCTCTAACGAAATTTTTCTGTTTTTTAATACTCTGCTTAGCTTTTGGAAAGCATCTTTGGCTCTCCCAAAACGTTTTCGGATTTCACTGTTGTATATCCGTACTCTATTAAAGTATTTCACAACTACTTAAATTTTCGTATTTGTTTGATTTTGATATCCCTGTTTTGTCATTTGCATTTTGGGCTGCTCCCATTTTGCTAACAACCATGCATTCTGTCTTTATGCAGTTTACGTTTAATCCTTTCTTCTCGCTTTCCTTCACTACTTTCAGTAGTTTTCTTTTTATATCTTCAATCAACCCTGAACCATCTGCATACCATGTTGTTAAGATTGTGGCCACCAATAATGGATACTGGTAGGAGTCCTAATTCTCGCAGAATTGCTTCGTTGTATAGGTTGAATAAGTCCATTGAGAAGACACACCTTTCTATTTTTGCATGTCTGCTAAACTTATTTTCTATCCGTATCCGGGGGTGGGGGCTGCTGCCTGTATAAGTTCATGATTATTCTAATATCTTTCCTAATATTGTCAAAGTTATTAAGCAGTTCTAACAGATTTTTATGGCGGACTTTGTCGAACGCTTCAAGGTATCCAAAAATGTATTCCTTTTTGATTTTCATATAACTTTTTGATTCTTTTTCTTTTTTCAGATCCAATGCATTTAATTTAAACCGTTAATCTTCACTGTTAATAAACATTAATATTTCTTATTTTTAACTGTTAACCTTGCTTGCAAGACAATAAACACGGCATTCGTTGTCATTTAAAGAGAGAGTATATTTTT